ATCACATCAATCAAGCAACATGAACATGTTAAGCATCTCAAATAGAAACTAAAAGTCACACGTCGGAAAATCGAGATCAAACAATCAAGCATGATGAAACAAGTAAAAAACAATCCACACAAATGCATCATATCAATCCATGAAGGTTAGAAGTGGAAAGAAAACAAAACATGCTTGAAAACAACCAAAAATCACATTCTGATCCAGTGTTAATCGATTAACCATTTGCCTGTGCAAACTGGTTAATTGATTAACCACTAAATTTTTTCAGAAATCGCAATGGTTAATCGACTAACCAGTTTTATACTGCAACTGGTTAATCAATTAACACTGCACCTAAAGCAGAAAAACATCAATTCAAAATCACTATCAGCAATTAATTCAATGTGCAATCATTCAAATGACCATGTAATCAATTATGCACAAATTCAATACCAAAAATCAGTGATCAAACATCAATCAAACATAATCAAGCATTGAGATCACAAATCAAAAAGATAAAAATCACCAAAATCAATAAAAAAACTTGAAGATCTACATTGTGATTATTCAAATAAGCTCAAAACAGAATTGGATCTAGAATTAACCAACCTTCAAAGTTGAGATTTGCTTTGGTAAGTGTTGATTCACTGCAAATTGATATATCCAAGCTAGAAACCCAAGAAATCTTCAAGATCCAAGAGTTTTCTTGCAATAGAAGTGAAGGACAAGCCAAAATAAGCCAAAATTGATCCAAGAATCACTTATAAACTTGCTTCCAAGATCAGATCCAAATCCAAACGAAAATTAAGTGATGGGTTGAAGATGATGGAGATGAATGATGGAGGTTTAGCCCTAGAATTCAATGATTCCAATGAAGAATCAAAGAACTCAAGTGAAAAAGAGCTTTAATGGAGGTTTTGAATGTAGAAAAGTTGAGAGAACTTTGAGAGCAAATTCTAGAGAATGAGTGTAAAATATGAAATTGTGAGGGTTAATAGTGAGGTTTGGAGCAAATTCACTTAAATAAACTCTTGGTTAGGAGTAGAATTATGATTTGGAGTGAGGTTATGAAAAATGGAATGGGATTAGGAATGGAAAATTGGAGGGAATTTGAATTAATTTTGAAAGTTAATCCAAATTTAGAGTGATTTTAGATCCTTCTTCTAGTGTAAAATCAAATTCACAAGTGATCAAAATAGACCTCAAAAGTGGCAACATTGAAAATGTACGTTACTGGGCAAATTTTTCTTTGGTTAATCGATTAACCATTTGTTATTGCAAAATGGTTAATCATTTAACCACTCACAAACTTTCAAAAATAGCGCCATTTGGCGGGAAACTTGCGCATTCGTCCGTTTTCACCCGTTTTAAGCCCTGTTAAGCCTCTAAAACTTGCCCTTTGACATTATAACTATGAGAATGCCTGAGATATCCTGTGACCTGTCTCCTGTACTAAAAATAACCTACTAAATAAAATAAAATCGGCCACCCGATTGCTGGGAAAAATAAATGCCGAAGCCTCTGACGCTCGCTGTTTAAACTCTTGCAATAAAAGAGAACCCTAAGTCATGAAAAACCTTGATCCCACGTCTCAAGAGCCAATGCCGTGATAAGTAGAAATGCGAAAATGCAAAGAAACATAAGCCAGTAGGTTAAGAAAAGGTGAGACAAGTTTTGGGGTGCTACAAGCATATGATAAAAACTGCTTTGGAAGTTTGGATTGGTAAAGAAAAGCCCTTCCTATATTAAGGATATGTCGGTGTTTTCTTTCAACATGGTCATTTTGTTATGGTGTTTCAACACACGATATTTGGTGTTGTAAAATTGGTTCAGGAGAAACTCAGGTCCATTGTCTGACCTTATAGTTTTGGGGGTTGTGTTGTGTTGTGTTGTGTTGTGTTGAGTTTCAATCATGGTAATGAAGGTTCTAACATGAATTGCAACTTCAACTTTGGAGTTTAGGCATATAATCCAAGTGAATGTACTATGGTCATTAAGAATTGTGAGGAAATATTTGTGGCCATAAACTGATTGAGTCGAGATAGGTCCCTAAATGTCAAAATGTAATAGCTCATATATGTTTTGAGCATGAGCTATATTAGTTTGGAAATGAAATTTATTTTGCTTAGCAAAATGAAAATATCATAAATGTTTGGTTTATTATTATGAGAAATGTCAGGGTACAACTGTGTCATCTGCATCAATTTATTGTGAGATAAATGGCCAAGTCTAAAATGCCATAAGGAATAAGAGGGAATGAACATATTATAATGGGATACATCTAATGAGCTAGAATGTGTTGGGTTTGGATTGATGTGTTGGTTGCATTGGTTGATAGTGTTGGTATTCACTTGTAACTGGTACAATCGATTCACTAAGTCAACCAAACCAAACATCTGAGATGTCTTCAAATCCCGTATGAGACCCAAGGTAATGGTAAATATGACTTGGCAAGATAAAGATTGACACCTTTTTGAGATGGAAATAAGATTCAATCGAAATTCAGGTGAGTAATGAACATGTGTGATATATAATGAAGGTGAAAATTGCACTTTACCAACATAATGAACTAAAACTGAATTGCCATTTGGATACTGAACCTTGATAGGTTTAATACGATAGAAGGAATTAAAGCAAGATCGAGAGAAACAAATGTGGTCATTTGCTCTTGAGTCAAGAAGCTGGACTTTGTTATTGTTACTTACAGAACAAGTAATAACACTAGGGATACATGACTGGTGAGGCTCAACTGATGAATGATCAATATGAGCAGAAATGGATATGTTGAGATGATTGGTGCTTGAACCAATGTCATGTCCTGCTGAAGGAATCAGGTTTGCTTGTTGTAACAAGCACATGAGCTCATCATACTTCTCTTGAGTAAGACCAGGAGGAGTGGTTTCCGATGAAGGATTTAATTGGGAACTGGCGGCATTACTGCTAGATGAATTAGGTTTGTTCATATTTGGATGACCATACTTATCATAACAAAATTCTAGTGTATGGACATGTCTGTGACAATGAATGCAATATCTGGAATTGCCTTTTCCATGATTAATCCCTTTTCCACAACCATAACCCTTCTCTGAGTCATATGCATTTGTAAGTGTAGGATCATCAACAACCGGTAGAATATTGCAGTTACTCTATTCTTGTGCCACTACAGAATACACTCTATTAATCGACGGTAAGCATTCCATTAACAAAACTTGAGTTTTAACCACTGAAAATTGATGATTCAATCCAGTTAAAAATTGAATAACTCGGTCCTCAAGAGTGCATTGTCGTGCTGATATCATAACTTCACATCTACACGGGTATGGACAAATGCATGATAGAATTGGTCAATAAGCATTGGGTTTATCCCAAATTGCCTTCATTTCAATGAAGTATTCAAGGACATATTTTGTACCTTGCTTCATGTTATTCAACTGAAACTGTAAATGAGTTACACGAACTCGATCAATCTTAGCAAATCTTTTCTTAAGATCATACCAAACATTAATGAAATTTTCATGAAAGATGATAGTTTGTGCAATAAAATCGAAAAGAGAATTAATGAGCCAAGAATGTACCAAGTGATTGCATCTTTCCCATGCTGTTAAGTTCAGGTCATCAAAATCTATAATGTTCATTGAACCATCAATTATTGGTAGCTGGTTTTTAGCTCCAAGTGCTCTGCGCATGGATCTACTCCAGATTGCATAATTGTTGCCATCAAGCTTCAATGCAACAGTAACTGCATTTAAACCATCGCTTGGATGTACATAATATGACAAATCAGTTTGTGCAGGTGGTTGAGCTTTTGGTGGCATGTTGAATTGAAAAAAAAAGCAGGAAAATCAACAAAAAATAATGAAAATGCAGCAGGTGGATCAAAAGAAAAGCGCAGGTTTCAGATTTTGCAAACTAAAACTTGAAAAAACACGAGCTTTCAAAAAAATTGAGGAAGACAAAAAAAAAAAAAAAGACGCCCAAGATTCTCTAAGAAAAAGAAGAAAAAGAATGAGATAAACAAATCTCTCCAAGAGAGAGCTCTGGATACCATGTAATGAGTATCATGAAATGAGTAAAATGATCTACATTATTTAGTAAAGAAATTCAAGAGAGTTATATATAAAAGTGTCAACTAAGTACATGATAATTATGGTAGCATTACTCTATACAATAGAATCTCATAACTACCATATCTAACTTAATAACAACTTCTAACTAACTATTAAGTACATGATGGCTATGGTAGCTTTACTCTATATAATAGAATCTCATAACCACCATAACTCATTTAAAAACAATTTTTAACTAACTATTTATATGTAACTATTTCTAACTATAATTGCTTAAAGAACACATTAATCATCTTTACTTTATTTTATTTGTGGTGTAATATTCGCTGTATCTAAAGTGTAATGAATTCAATTTCAACAATCCATTTTAATTTTTCTAGAATATAATAATAATTAGTTAGTTTCGGTTTTTTTTCCTCCGCCTAATCTGACCTAATTTTCACGATGAAAATCCAAATTGAATTATTCCCTTTATAATTGTTTAATTATTTATTATTTTTAAAGTCTTGTTAACTTACATGTCTAAACCATATGTTAACGATTAAAAAATAAAAGTCTTCTATTACAATAATTTTCTTTATTTTTGTTGGATCGGTTGCCACCGTTTGTAAGGTAGGAAGAATGAAGTGATGAACACGATAGTAACATATCCACACCGTTTTTTCAACAACCCTTTTTTCCCTTCCGATCCACCTTTCAACGCGTTACACTGTTCTCTTCCTTCTTAGTAATAAATAATCACTTATTCGTTTTTTCCTTTTTCTTCCACTCCTTCACTAACTAGTAACAACTCGCGCGAGATTCATAAAAGCACTTTCCCTTAAATTCCAATTTCTTATCACCTCCCAAAGGTTTCTTCTCTTTTATATATTTTATAATCTGCTTTTTCAATTCCTTTCAGCTTTTCAATTTCAATTATGCAAACGCGCGTTTTCTTTCTCTAGCTCAACGATGTCTTCGCAAACAACAACCTCTGAAACGCAAGAGGCGCCGCTCCTCCCTTCACGCCATGAAGGAGGACGCTCTACATCCCTCGCGCTTCTTCTAGGACGCGCCGCCGGACGGAGAGGACCGTCGGTTCTTGTGCGAGAGACAGCGGCGCGTGAACTCGAAGAGCGTCGTGCTGACTGGGGATACTCGAAGCCGGTGGTAGCGCTAGATATATCATGGAACATGGCGTTCGTTGTGGTTTCCGCGGTGATGCTTTCGTGCACTGTTGACGAGAATCCGATCACACCGATCCGGATTTGGATAATCGGTTACGCGCTGCAGTGTTTCGTTCATGTTGTTCTAGTGTGGCTTGAGTACAACCGCCGTAGCCGGAGAGATTCGAGACGGTGGCAGAGGGAAAACGACGGTGGGGCCAGTTCTGATGGAAGCGACAGTGATGATGGCGACGGGAACTCATCTCAGTCCAGGTGAATTATATTCGATTTTTTTTAGATGTTTGACTTTCTTACTATTTGCAGCTCAAGTTTTTTTTTGCATGCTAGGGTTTTATGTATGCATATAAATTTAACTTAACTTTGTTAATTAAGATATTAATTTTATATATATGTAGGTATGTAATTTGTGTATTTTGATTTTACTTATAAAAAATTAAAATTAAACAGAACTGAAAAGAGCATGATGTTATGTTCTACCTAGTGTTCAATGAATATTTCTGTTGCCCTGCACTTTAACTTCAAGTTTTTATGAGATTGTTGGCAATATACAACATAACATTACATTAGGGTGATATGTTGTGGACTTATTGAAGAAACTGTTGTCATATTTATTTGGAATAAGTTGTTGCGAGATCTTCAGAGTGTTGCGGCTGGTCATAATTTCGTGTCGTGCAAATTATGATAGATTTTATATTGACATTGGAGTCTTTGTTTTAGACTTGATAAATATAGCATAGGATTGAAATCATTGTGTAAGAAAACCACAGTGAAACTAGGCAAAAGTGATAAAAGAGGGAGACTAGGGGGGCAACCTGCAGCAGAAAGAAAAGTGAACAAATGCGAGCAGAAAAGTGGACAAAGGAAGCCCGAGGTAGTGACTTGAAATCAATTAGTGCTGGCTGAAAAGTTGCCGTCAAGCTTCGTTGGTGGCTGGTCTATAACGTGTTCTCCAACACGTCGGTGCCTGCTTTAAACCGTGCCGAGATTTGGTCAACCTGCAAACCAAGTTTTACTTTTCTTTTTCTTCAAAACCTTATGGCTGGAGCATATATATTTCTTCTTCATATTCATCATGATGAAAAGCAGTATTTACATCCATCTGTTCAAGATGAAAATCAAATGCAACACACATAGCCAACGCTATTCTGATAGTAGTGAGTCGAACAATTGGGACAATATTTCATTGAAATCAATACCTTCTTTTTGAGCATAACCTTTAACCACCGGTCTTGTACGATATCGTTCTTACATGATCATTACCATCTCGTTTGATCTTGTATACCCATTTATTCCCGATGGCTTTCCGATCTTTTGGAAGTTCAACAAGTTCACATGCTTTGTTTTTATATAAGGTTTCCATTTCATCATGCATTGTTGTCATCTGAAGAGAGAAGCATCTAAGCTTCTTCCCGCCTCTTGAAAGGTTGATGGCTCCCCTTCTTCTGTTGAAAGACAATATGCATAATAAATTATCATTACATAGTCTGAATGCCACACTAGGGTTATAATCTAACGTGATGATCGACAAATGCCTTTATTATTGGACACATTTTCTACTTGTTCCTCATGCACTTGTTCAACTTCAAAAGAATCATCTTCTTTAGACTTTCTTTCTATCTCAATTGTAGTAGTTTCTTTGGCAATGCTATCATGTTTTTGCTCACTTTCCCATTCATTTTTTGCAAAAACTACATTTCTACTAACAAGGTTGCGAGCGGTGGGATCCCACAAGCAATACCCTTTCACATTGTCAGCATAACCCAAAAATATACATTTTCTAAACTTTGGATCCAGCTTTATTCTTTCTTGGAAGTTGCACATTGCATACACATGACATTCAAACACATGTAAGGAAGACTAATCACTTGACTTTCCGTTCCAAATCTCCATTGGTGTTTTCAACCAATTGCAGTTGACGGAGATTGGTTGATCACGTAACAGACAGTTTTCACTACTTTTGTTTAGGTTGACTTGACCACTCCAGTTGTTCACAACACAACTCTTGTTTTGTCTAGGAGGATTCTATTCATTCGCCCTGTTACACCATTATGTTGAGGCGTTATGTGGAACTGTGAATTGTCTTGTAACATTCTCTTGTTTGCAAAATGTCAGTAAATTACCATCTACATATTCTCCTCTATTGTTTGTTTCTAGTATTTACTTTAAAAACCTTTAATCTATGTTGCTTGCTTATCACACAGTGCTCACAGAAAGGTAAACTTACCGATTTGAGCCTGGCTAAGAGATTACGTTCGACAAGAGCTTTCTAGCCTCGTTCAAACATATGGCCTAGTCTGCCAAACTCCATTGTTGTTGAGTCTTCTTGACTAGTTTATGCAACTGACACATCACCCTTTTGCAATGTTTCTCCCAAAAGCATGTATAGATTTGTAGATAGTTTCTCTGCTTTCATCACTACTAGAGCACCTTTAACCATCTTCAAGATCCTACCTTCAATATGAGTCTTGCACCCGAGGTCATCTAATTGTCCAATAAATAATAAATTCTTAAACTCTTTCACATGTCCTACTCTTTGAATTATGCGAACCATACCATCATACATTCTTTATTTTGACATACCATCATACATTATTTATTTTGATAGTACCGACTCCTGCAACTTTCTAAGGAGTAATCGTTTCCCATGAACACATATCTCATGAACATAAATTATGAACGAGGCGGAGAATTATGAGAATGTATGGTTATACTTAATTCTCTAAATTAAGCATGTGAAGAGAAATGTTAGGAGAATAAAGAGGGAGTTCTATTTTATGTTTTGTAATAACATAAAATGTAGGAAACCCTCGTAATTAACAAGTAAAACATTATAAATTGTCTTCTATTTAGTATGGAAACTGTAACATAGAAAGTTATAGTAACACCAAGTTTTTCTTCATTGAGTGGTTATTTGTTTCTTATCCCAATATCATTGTCAATATATAATTGTTATTGTATGTATAGTATGTGAGATATTAATTTCATATTTTTTATGAGAAGTTAAATTTCTGTTGCGAGTACCTATAATTGGTATTAGAGCTTGATCATTCACGAGGAGGTTCAGCAGGAAAAAAAAAGGTTGGAAATAGAGTAGCACAGATGGTATCATGCAACTAAAATTAGAGATTTGAAAATAGGAATTGACACAATGTTTTACTAAGTGAAAGTTATTACAACACCTCTCTTTAAATAAGAACTACTCTCTAGAAGAACCTTATAGGAAAAACATTACTTATTTTTCTCTAATATTTTCTCTCTGGTAAACTAAGGAGAAGAATGTTTGGAATGATTAAAACAAAACGATTAACTCTCTCTCCTCTTATAATAACATTAGGCATTGAGAATAGTTGACATGATTTTCTCTTCATCACAAACCAAGCAATGCGCTAATAATAGTTGGCATAATTTTCTCTTCATCACAAACCAAATAATGGTTTATGTTGTTTGAATTTCTTCTTCCACAAAAACAGGCTTTACTACTTTTTTTCTTCCACAGAAGTTGGTCCCAACAAAGATCAAATCTAAGATTTGAAGGCATAGTTGGCTAGGGAGTTCGATATGAAGGATTTGAGACCAACAAACAAGATTTAAAGGATGCAAATTCACCGAGACAGAAAAGATAGGAAGATTTGGCTCTCAGAAGAATTATATTTGAACAGTCTTGCGGCGCTTAAACATGCAAGACAGTAAACCAACCTCAACCCCACTTCCTATCAATTGTGAATGATCCTTAAATATGTGTCCTGGCAATGAAGCCGAAGGAAATGTCTCGAGTCTTATGCATCAACGGTGGGAAGTCTTGTGTATGCCGTGATATGTACAAGGCCAGACATTACACAAGCAATGGGAGCAATTAGTCGATTTATGGCGCATCCTGGTAAAGAGCATCGAATGTTGTGAAGAGGATCCTAAGATATATTGAAGGGACCTCAGATTCTGAATTATGTTTTGGAGGACCATAGTTTGTTGTCAGAGGATATGTTGATTTAGATTATGTAGATGATTTTGACAAAAGAATATCTACTACTAACTATGTGTTTGCACTTGTAGGAGAAGCGGTAAGTTGGTTATCCAAATTGCAAAAGAATATCTACTACTAGCTATGTGTTTGCACTTGTAGGAGAAGCGGTAAGTTGGTTATCCAAATTGCAGACTGTTGTACCTTTATCTATGGCACCTAACCAAACATGCAAGGATGCTTTTTGGATTCAAAGGTTAATTGAAGAGCTCGAGCATAAACAACATAAGATTATTGTGTATTGTGACAGTTAGAGTGTCTTGCACATTGCAAGAAATCAAGCCTTTCATTCAAGGACAAAACACATAGGAGTACAATACCATTTTGTTCTAGCAGTAGTAAAAGAAGGAAGTGCGAACATGCAAAATATTCACACTAAAGACAATCTAGCAGATGTTATGACAGAGCTGATCAATGCATCAACGCTGACAAGTTTATTTGGTGTAGATCCTCTTATGGCCTATCAGAAACGTTCGTAACAACACAAAATTGGCAAGTTGGAGACATTTTGCAATCTCACAAAAGTGACTTTAAGTGGGGAGATTGTGAAAAAAAATAGTAAAGCTACTTTTGTGGAAGAAGAAAGTCAAACAACATAAACTTGATTTGTGATGAAGGGAAAATTAGTCAACTATTTTTAGTGCCCAATGTTCTTATAGTAGAAGAGCTAATAGTTTAGTTTTGATCATCCCTCTTAAGAGTTCCGCATCGGACAATATATGGCATGAACATGTGTTTATAAGTGGAGGCAATCCTCACTCTACCAACCGGTTTTGTAGGGTTGAGTTAGATCCAACCACAATTTCTTAACATGGTATCAAGAGCCTCGTTTAAGATCCGGTAGGCCACCTTCTATGGTTTCCGCTATCGGGCCACCCACCATTTTTTTCCACGCTTCAGTTGTCCAGTCCTGAGCGTGAGGGGGTGTGTTAAGAGTCCCACATCGAACAATATATGGCATGAACATGTGTTTATAAGTGGGGGCAATCCTCACTCTACCAACCGGTTTTGTAGGGTTGAGTTAGGCTCAACCATAATTTCTTAACAATCCCAAACATTCTTTTCCTTAGTTCACCAGAGAAAAAAAATTAAAAAAAAATTAGTGTTTTTCCTATAAAATTTTACTAGTAAGTACTTTCCTAGTTAAAGAGAGGTGTTTACACAAATGTATAACTCTCCGAGAATTTCAATTGCGCTTATATTCATCACTGTAGGAATTGGGTTCAAGCTTTCCCCAGCCCCTTCTCATCAATGGACTCCTGACGTATATGAAGGAGTGTGCTTCGTTCGAGAAATTTCGACCGACTTCTCTATCTATTTCTTTCTGAGATGTTTGGATTTTTCAAAACTCTATGGACATGCAGAAGAGATATGTTATTCCCACTTGGACCAAGTCATAACTTTACTTGTTAAAATAACAATTAAGGTGAAGTCAGGGTAATATCTTCCACTTATTAAAACTTTTGTGTGGCGATTTCTATTCTCAAATCTCTAATTTTAGTTGTGTGATACCATTTGTGCCACTCTTTTTCCAACAATTTTTTTATTTTTTATTTTTATTTATTTTTTACATTTATGAGCTTGGTCATGAGAAGGTTTAGCAAGAAAATACAGATACATTGCAACAGCAGCAACAAGAATCTTTGATATTTTAACATCACCATCATTAGCCACTGTATATTTTTCATCAAGGGTTTCATCCCTGCTAATCGCAAACTAAGAATCTTCTACACTTCAAAAGCGATAGTCTTTGACCCTTTTGCACATCTTAGGAAAGATAACTATCTTGACTCTATTATCAAGTTTGTTATCCTTGACATGATAATAGGATGTGCACCTGAAGACTTTGAGTCTATCATAATCAACATGTTCACATGACCACACCCTATAAGGTGTGTCTCCATCTAAACTAGAATGTGGAGACTGATTTACTATGTAACAAGATGTGTCAATCGACTCTGTCCACCATTTTCGACCTAGTCTAGAATTAGAGTGCATACACCTTGCTTTCTCAAGAAGTGTACTGTTCAGTCTTTTCGCGACTCCACTCTATTGTGGTGTGTTTTTTATTGCCCAATGTCCCACAATGCCTTCCTGATCACAAAACTTCTTGAAAACTCCCTTAGTATATTCTGTACCATTATCATACCTTATAATTTTCAACTTTCTATTCGTTTTGTTCTCAACCATTGCTTTCCGACACTTGAAAATATCAAATACCTCCCTCATTGTCATGCTCAAAAAGTAAATTCAACATACTTAGAATGATCGTCAAAAATGTAATAAAGTACCTAGAACCACCCTTAGAAGTTACTTTAGCTGGATCCCAAACATCAAGATGCACATAGTCTAACGACCATATACTTTTCCTTGTAGAGAACTTCAAGTGATGTGCTTAGCCAAACACACAATGTTCACAAAATTCCATTCATGACTTCTACATGTTGTTCAACAAGACTTTCTCACCCAGCAATGATAGACCCTTTTCCGACATATGCCCAAGGTGCTTGTGCCAAATCCTCGTGCATTGACTTTGATCTTTACTTTCACTAATTTCAACTGTCAAATCTCTTTTGACAATTTCACCCATAAGAGGTTAAGGATTTCTGCGGCGAATTCCCTTCATCACAATCAACGAACCACCCACAACTTTTAAAATTTTGTTTTCCATAACTATTTTGCAACCATTTTCCTCTAATACACCAAGAGAAATAAGGTCCTTTCGCAAATTTGAGACATGTCTCACATTCATCCGAGTTCGTGCCGCTCCATCATGCATCTTGATTCTTATTGTATAATACCCCATAATTTACAAGCATGGTTGTTTTCCATTAAAACAGTTCCACCATTTGTACTTTGGTAGGTAGTAAACCACTTCCTATTTGGACACATTGTGTGAGAGATCAATCATTCACTTACTGGATCATCCTCATCATTCGAGACATAACTCGCCTCTGGCAAATCTTGTTGCTTGCTTTTAGAGTTGTTGCTATTGTTCGCCGGTTTCTTAAATAATACCCTCTTATTTGGACAATTTGCTTCCTCTGCCATGTCTTCTTTCATTAGTCCTACCTCTAGAAGCAAAGAATACTTGAGCTTGTTCCCTGTATTCTTTTCCACTGCTAGAGTCTAGACATTCCACTTGTAGCAACTTTTCGAAGATCATCCGCTAAAAGTGATGTTCTAGTCTCATCCATTGTTAGAGTATCAGCCACAAGCACCAATGTTTAAACTAGATTTTCATAGGACTCCGGTAACAAAAGCAAAAAAAAAAAAAGATTGTTTGGTCTACTTCATCGATCTTAACTTCTACTTCCTCCATCTTGCATGTATACAATTTAAATTTCAAGTAGATTTGATTTGTTAAGAGTTTTTGTCAATGAAATTATTCTGACTTTGACACACACCAGCAGCCGTTGCAGTTGCTTCTTCATTAACCACTCTAAATTTTGTTTCTAATAGATAATATGAAATCAATATGTCACATACTATAAATATAATAACAATTATACACTGGCTATGATATTGGGATAAGAAACAAATAACTACTCAATGAAGAAAAGCTGTGTTATTATAACTTTCTATGTTACAATTTCTATACTAAACAGAAGACAATTTATAGTATCTTACTTGCTAATTAATGAAATGATTTCCTACTTTTTTATGTTTACGAATCATAAAATAGAATTCCCTCTTTATTCTCCTAGCATTTCTCTTCACATGCTCAATTTAGAGAATTAAGTATAACCATACATTCTCACAATTGTGCTACTCTGTTTCCAACATAATATCAAAAACTGGGATGTCGGGAGGATGAAGGCTGTGTCTGCCGCGTATCGTGTAGACTACAAACAGTTAGCATTGTCCATTTTGTAACCTTTATTGGTCTTGAAATCTCTAGATTGGCCCGCCCCCCTCTGAGATGTTGGTCACTTTTGGATTCGCTTAAGTTGCCCCCTTTTCACGCACTTCAAACACTATTACGGTTAGTGGTGGAGCTTGCCTTGGTTTTTTGAGGGGGCCATAGATACATATACATGCTATAAGTGTTATCTAAGCATAATTTTGGTATTGAGGCGGAACAGTAAACATTTTTTATATAAAGAAGAGAGTTGACGCCACGAAGACACTTTAACCACATTTTGTTCAATTATTCAATGTAGAAATGCTAAAATGAATCCTGATGGATTGGATACCAAGACATAGCAGTTGCAAAATTAGCATTATGCCGCGGCGTCTCTTGCAATATACGACAAGTTAATGCCAAATATATATTACCTAATATGTAAAATAATTGGGGAGCAAAGACTCCCTTGTCTTTGGGAAGCTCCACCATTGTTTGCGGCAGCATCATGAAACTGCTACACCACATAACCGAAAGTAATGGCCGGTGTTTTACGCAGCTACAGCAGGGTGCTATTGACAACTATCACTGGAACTCTTTCTATTTTGTAGTTTCATTAGGATTTCAATGTTTTATTGTATCCTTCTACTTACGTTGTTGATACAGATGTCATACCATACCTCACATTATCTGATGTCTGCAAAACAGGACTATGATACACTTCTTGAAAATAAAATAAAATGTGTCTTCCTCTTCTAAGTGAACTTGGCTAATGCATGTTAGTCTACTTTAGCTATATGTAAAGATGTGTGGTTTGGCTTATTATCACATCTCTCGACTGAATCAAGTAATTAAGATTTGCAGACACTTATTTTGTTTATCTGCTAAACAGCTTCACCAAGCGATGTGAATCAATAAATACTGGGGTTTCATTCATCTGGTGGATGGTGGGCTTTTACTGGGTTGTCTCTGGTGGTGATATCCTTCTGGAAAATGCTCCAAGCTTGTACTGGTAAGCTTTTATTTTTTACATTTTAAGAATAATGTTACATATTAATTCTAATAGTATGATGATATCTAATCTACATATGTAGACTCACTCGCATACACATGATATTTTATTTGTTAAGGTGCTTCAGGTGCCTGAAAACGTGTATGTGTGTGGGTTGGATATATTTGTTGGGTTGGAGGTGTTTATTATGTATGAAATGCATGCTCCTTTTTATTCTTGTTTTTGGATAAAAGAAGAATTCTTCAATACCTTTTATTTATAATTTATAAGAGGATACCAGCACACTTAGCTACTACACTTAGCAACTAGTGGCTATATCCATATAATTGAATTATGGGTGTAAAAATGATTCCTGATATTCCTTTATTTAAAGTGAAACGCGTGACTAAATATTAGTCACAACTTATTACAATAGAACCTAGAATTTTTTCAAATTCGTAGCTTTCAAAACTACCAGGGACAATTTTTTCAATAAAGAATATTTCTTGATCAAAGGCCAATTTCGCCACCCATTATAACTGCATCAGTATGGTCCTTAGAGTGACAACCCAACCAGTCCTTAGAAGAACGAAATTGATTTCATTAATTGCTATTGAAGAACCAATTTGATATCTCAAATAAATGAAGAACAAAGGTGATACTGAGGGTATTTATAGATTACCAAAATGGACGGTTACTCCATTTTTTTCTATTTGATAGATTTGTGAAGTTTGTTGATATAATGAAAATAATGATATGTTTTTCAATCTTTACAGGTTGGCTGTTATCTTTCTGGCGTTTGATGTCTTCTTTGCCATCTTCTGTGTTGTTTTGGCATGCTTGATTGGCATTGCTCTCTGTTGTTGTTTGCCCTGCATCATTGCTATTCTCTATGCTGTTGCAGGACAGGTATGAATAAAAAAAATATTTTA